AAAAAATTATTTTTAATTGAATTATACATATTAAAAAAAATATATATATAGATATAGATATAGAAATGAACAAACAACTGACCTTAACAATACTTTGGAAACTCAAGTGTCAAACAAACTGAGCGTGCGCGTTATCCTCAACTCTCCTCATCTCTTTCCCTCTCCTCTGTTTCCCTTCAGAATCCTCGTGCAAAAACCAGAATGATCTCTCAACACCTTCAGCTCCAACTACACTCCCTTCCTCAGTCTCCTTTTAACCGCTCTTTCTTTGTTTCCGCCGTCAAGAAGCCTCATTCTTCAATAAAGTTCCCCAAGAATTCTCCTTTTCGTTTCCATTTACCCTTCAGACATAGCTACGGCTCTGGCGGTTCTGGGTTTCTAAGGTTCAGAATCAGGAGTTCAGAGAGCGAAGTTGAAGAGAACAAGAGGCAGAAACAGCAGGATGTGGTCAAGAGAGCATACCCTTTTCACGAAATTGAGCCCCAATGGCAGCGTTATTGGGAAGAGAATAAAACTTTTCTCACCCCAGATGATGTTGATACCTCTAAGCCTAAGTTCTATGTCCTTGACATGTTCCCTTACCCGAGGTCTCTCTCTTTCACTATATATGCGTGTGTGTGTATCTCTCTCTCTTGTTCTCCGTGTATATATGTGTCTGCTTGTCTTCTGTGTCGTGTAAGCAGAACAAGAATGAAAGGAAAAACCCTGATAGGATAAGCAAATAGACCTATCTGAAGTTGTTTACTTGGTGGGATTTTTTACTGATGAGTTTCTGAGCTTAAAATTTTAGATTTTTTTAGAATCTGGATTGGCTTGAAATTGAGTATAATCTGGTTTTCTATGGTAGGTTTTTTACTGATATGAGTTTCTGAGCTTAAAATTTTAGATTTTTTTTAGAATCTGGATTGGCTTGAAATTGAGTATAATCTGGTTTTCTATTATTCAATTTTTGGCTTTTAGTTTTACCATGTCTTTTTTTTTTTTTCCTTCTGAATTGGCTTTGTTGTTTTTGGTTGGCTTTTGCAGTGGAGCTGGGTTGCATGTTGGGCATCCATTGGGGTACACAGCCACTGATATTCTTGCCAGGTTTAAGCGTATGCAGGGTTACAATGTTTTACATCCAATGGGATGGGATGCATTTGGTTTACCTGCTGAGCAATATGCAATCGAGGTTTGCTTTATGATTTTTGCAGCCTCCAATTATAGTCATTTTTGGTTGCTAACGGGCTCCATATCTGTATAACAGACAGGAACTCACCCAAAAATCACGACATTGAGAAACATTAATCGCTTTCGATCCCAGGTTTGTACTTCTTATCTGTTTGGTGGTAGTTAGAAGTAATTTGAGGCATTTATGGTCCACTATGACGGTACTGATAAGAGGCATTAGGTTTGTATTGCGTGTTGAAAATCAGCTGAGCTGATTGCATGCCTTACAATAGAACGATATGTTGTCAATATTTGTATGTTGTCAACTAGCTGTTGTCTGATAGCTGTATACAATATTTGTATGCTTCTTATCAAATTGGAGAAGGAAATAGAACGATATATTACCAAATCCTGAAGCCCTTAAAGAGTGCTTTAAGCACTTCGATAAATTGGTCAAGAATCTTCTTTTTAGTGGCAGTTAATAAGCTGAGTGTCTTTATGACTGCGTGAACTATCCATGCGCTGGCACAGGAATTACACTTAACGTAAGTACATAACAATGTCTCTTTTGTTGATTTCATGGATATGCCTTTTCTTTTTGCAGCTCAAGTCATTGGGCTTCTCATATGACTGGGATCGTGAAATTTCTACTACAGAACCAGAATATTATAAATGGACGCAATGGATCTTCCTTCAACTCTTAAAGAGAGGTTTGGCATATCAGGTCCAGGATGATAGCTAGTTCAGGAATCATTTTCTTCCAATTTCAAGTTGGAAACCATCTGATGGTCTATTAATTATACATTCAGGCAGAAGTGCCGGTTAATTGGTGCCCTGCCCTTGGTACTGTCTTAGCGAATGAGGAGGTGGTGGATGGTGTCAGTGAACGTGGGGGCCATCCGGTAATAAGAAAGGTGGGCTATTCTGATGTCTTGTTTTGTAACTTATGTTGTATGATCAACATTTCTAGTTATAATACTTCTTCTTTTGTTTCCATTTTTTGAACCGGTTTTATAAATTTTACAGTGTAATTGTTTATTACCAAGCAGCCAATGCGGCAATGGATGCTCAAGATTACTGCCTATGCTGAGCGTCTTCTTGAAGATCTTGAGGATCTTGAATGGCCTGAAAGCATAAAAGAAATGCAAAGAAACTGGATTGGTAGGTCTGAAGGAGCTGAGTTGGAATTTTGTGTTCTTGCAAGTGAAGGGCGGGAAACAGATGCAAAACTTACTGTCTATACTACCAGGCCTGATACCATCTTTGGAGCAACGTATTGATCTAACACTTTGTTCTTCTTTGATATGAGTATTCATGTACTGTCGATCCTTGATAGCAATTATCTCTGAATGTCATATTTCTTACAAGTTGTTGTCGTGCAGCTACTTAGTTGTGGCTCCGGAGCATTATTTGTTGTCTTCATTTGTATCTGCAGCACAGAGCAAACATGTACGTTAAATTGTTTTCATTTGCAGTTCTTGGAAATTTCTTAACAATTGGTAATTAGAAAATTACAGCTTTGAACATAGGTAGAGGAATACAAAGACCTTGCATCAAGAAAAAGTGATCTCGAGAGGACTGAACTTCAGAAGGAGAAAACTGGAGTTTTTACCGGTTCTTATGCCAAAAATCCAGCCCCTGGGGAAGCCCTACCAATATGGGTTGCAGACTATGTCTTGGGGAGGTGAGTTTGACTTTATGTTCCATGTTCCTTGGTATTGTGTTAGGGGATTATTCTTCAAGTTGTAATGCCCTTTATATGCTCAGAACTGCAAATTCTCGAGTGATACATTCACAATATGTCTTAATCTTGTACAATAAGTTGACTAAGATTTTGTTATCGCCACAGTTATGGAACAGGAGCGATTATGGCTGTACCTGCCCATGACACTCGTGATCATGAATTTGCCTTGAAGTATAATATTCCTATACAGTGGGTTGTAAGGCCAGATGATGAAACTTATGGTGATCCCGAGAAGGCCTTTTCAGATGATGGCATTATCATTAACTCATCAAGTTCCAAGACAGGACTTGATATTAATGGCTTGTCTAACAAAGAAGCTGCTTCCAAAGTTATTGAGTGGGCTGAAAAAACTGAAAATGGGAAGAGAAAGGTGCCTTTCTCAGTACATCCAATGTCTATGTTACCTCTGGAGGATATAATGTTCTTTCCATGTATCACTATTTTTTTGGAGCTTAAACTCGTGTTTCTTCAGGTAAACTACAAGCTGAGGGACTGGCTTTTTGCAAGGCAGCGTTATTGGGGAGAACCTATCCCTGTCATCTTCTTGGATTCCACCAGTGAGACTGTTCCTGTTCTTGAAACTGAGCTGCCACTCACATTACCTGAATTAGATGATTTTACCCCCACTGGCACTGGGGAGCCACCACTGTCAAAAGCAGTTTCTTGGGTATGTTTTCTTCATTCCCCTTTTCTTGAAGTAGTTATCAGCATCTTTTGATACTGTTTACTTTGAACTTATTTTGCTATAAGCAAAGCTGTAACTATTTAAGCGCTTTTCGATGCCAATAGGCATTTGTTAGGTATGTATATTTCCAATTCTTCTTCTCTCCTTACTGGCTATTGTAGTTGATTCATTATCTTGTTGGCTATCTAATCTTGGTGGATCTTTAGAAGATTGAGAAAATAAAATTTTACCCTTAGGTGGTAGCTTAGGTCGGCTGGGTTGTTCTAGGTTTTCAACTTTAACTTTCTTACCTTTTCTTCTTAGTAGTATTTAATTTTTTCTTGAGGATGCACATCATTGACTTTGAAACTCTGGCAATTTTTCATCCCTTAATATTGTTTGATACATTTGATTTGGTTATGTTTGTTACCCTGGTCAATTTCTTAGAAAACAGAATTAAACTGGCAATGCCATAGATGGTTGGTCTTAAATTTCGCTGTTTATGGCTTATTTTCAGGTGAAAACAATTGATCCTTCATCTGGAAAACCTGCCAAACGAGAAACGAGCACCATGCCACAGTGGGCTGGTTCTTGTTGGTAATTGTTTGTAATTCTTTACACCAACTTTAATTCACTTCAATATTGTCTCAAGTTTATGGTTCTTAAAAGTCCATGGTTAGAATGTTTAATGTACATGGGCTGTAAGGAATCTCAAGTTTATGAGTCCTACAAGTGTTTAAAAGAACATTCCATGAAAAGGACTAAGTGTTCTTTCTCGTACATAGTCAAAAAGCCATAACCGTATGGTCGTTAAGATGCAGGTTCCTGTTTTGGCTGGGAACACAATCCAATGTGAGATTTTAGAACCTTCTCCTTGGCAAAATGAATGTGGAACTGGTCTGCCGAACCTAATGGTTTTTATAATATACATATTTATAGGTTTTAGAGTAGCCAAATTCCTCGGAAGTCTTATTCTTGAAGTCTTAATGTATAAGTTTTAAAGGAATATCTTTAACGTTGAAGTCCTGTTCTCTTCTTTAATTACTGTTCAGGTACTATTTGAGATTCATGGACCCTAAAAATTCTGAAGCATTAGTTGATAAGATGAAAGAAAGGTAAGAGTTTTTATATCTATTTCTTAAAGAGAGAACTGTCGTTGTGTCATTAGGATTTCCGTAGTTCTTATGCTATCTATTCTCCGAATTACAAATATACATTATACTCCCTCAATTGTATTGCTTCAATTTCTTAGCTTTCTTTAACTGTTTTTTCTCTTACAGATACTGGAGTCCAGTTGATGTTTACGTAGGTGGTGCTGAACATGCTGTCCTCCACCTACTTTATTCTAGATTCTGGCACAAGGTTTGTGTTTAATATATGTTATGTTTATAATTTTAAGGCATACGGGTTTCTCGGTATTCAGTTTCTTCTTACTCAAATTCTTCTGTGGAACTCGTCTTATAACAATCATTTTGATCATTGCGATGATCAAGTTGCATATAAAGTGTATGCTGGTTTGAACTATGTCACGGTCAAAATTGGATGGTAAGGAAGTCTGCATCGATTGGATAGCTGTTGAACTGACTAGGAATAATTGCTCTGCTGCTTCTGAAGAGTTCCGGCTGGGAAGAGCAACACTTAATGGACACTGTCTATCTAAAGACAAATAGGTTGTCAAAATAGTATCTTTTTATATGCTGCTGGAGCTTATGCATTTTGTACTTTCTGTATGTCAGGTTCTTTATGATATTGGTGTTGTTTCGACCAAAGAGCCCTTCAAGTGTGTCATAAACCAGGGAATTATCCTCGGGGAAGTAAGTGTAATTTTCTTGAATATATATATATCTAAATAATTCTTTCTAGTTATCCTTTGCGTATGGTTTGAGTGGCAGGTTCAATATATAGCTTACAAAGATCAAAATGGAAGTTACATATCAGCAGACTCTCCTGATATATCAGATGAGCATCATCAAGAAAATATTCCTGAAGAAAGAGTATGATCTTTAACATGCATCAACGGGCGCACCCACAAAATAATATAAAATTTACATCTTGATAAATCCAACTCCTATGCTATGTTAGCCAATTTATTCTGGCATTTTCCTTGTTGGTTTCTAACAAATCTTTATGCAGGTCATGAAGGCAGGAGATTCTTTCATACTGAAAGACAACCCAAGCATTCGCTTGAGCGCTCGTGCTCATAAGATGAGTAAAAGCAGGGGAAATGTTGTCAACCCTGATGATGTTGTTCTTGAGTATGGTGCAGATTCTCTTCGGTTGTACGAAATGTTCATGGGACCATTTAGGTATAGAAATGCTATCACCTTCTGATTGTTTGGATTATTGTGTGTACAGAAAGTGGTTGGAAAAAGTTTTCGTGAAATGGGTATTTTTTGCATTGTGTTTTCAGGGACTCGAAAACTTGGAATACTAGTGGTATTGAAGGTGTTCATCGATTTTTGGCTAGGACTTGGAGGTTGATTGTTGGTTTGCCATTAACAGATGGCACGTTTAAAGATGGAACTGTGGTTACTAATGATGACCCTACTATGGAACAGCTACGTGCTCTCCATAAATGCATAGCTAAGGTCATGCCTTGAATGTTATAATTCCTTTTCATTCTTTGTTCACCGCATAATTGCGTAACATTCCTTGGGGTGGGAAATTGAGTCTTTTGGCATCTGAGTATTAAATTTTGATTTGCAGGTAACAGAGGAAATTGAAGGGACACGGTTCAACACAGGAATTTCAGCAATGATGGAATTTCTTAATGCAGCGTACAAGGTTTTTCATCTTGAGCTTTGTGGTTCGGTCTAATTTAGATGTCTTGCAGAACCCTTCCCATTTTATTCTTCTATGGAGATTATGCATGAGTTATAATCTTGTTTCCTTTTTCGGTTTTCAGTGGGCTAAACATCCGAGATCAATTATTGAACCATTTGTTTTGTTGCTTTCACCATATGCACCCCACATGGCTGAGGAGATTTGGTCTCGCCTAGGTCACTCAAATTCTTTGGCATATGAGCCATTTCCTCAGGTATATCTTTTCTTGTGCCTAACTTCGGGAACTTGTAATGCCAATTACCACCAATTAATATTTAGGCTATACGAGTTTGATCTTACACTTTGTGGTCTTTAATCATACATTGTGATTGTGACGAGAATATAGATTAGTACAAGGATTTTGATGGGTCTATTCCAGGTCAGAAAGATGTGTAATCGATGAGCTCTATATAAAAAGCTCAAGCGATCTACTATTAATAACTTGAACATAAGCTTATGAGAATCAGTATATCCGAAATGATTTAAGTAATAATAATGCATTATAACTTTTGATGTTTTCTAGATGCATGGGCTTTGAAGTTTAGCATATAAGTTCACGCGTATATGTAGTAAGCCATATTGATACCATCTAGATGCATGTATGATTGAAAGCTGACACATATGTATTATTAATTGTTGATGCATGTATTGTTAAAAGGTCATATACATATACTTGGTCCTTAGCTTATGCAATTTCTGTCCTTAACTGCAGGCAAATCCCACCTACTTGAAGGACTCCACCATTGTTCTTCCTGTTCAGATCAATGGCAAGATGAGGGGCACCATTCAGATTGAAGAAGGATGTACAGAGGAGGATGCTTTCATTTTAGCATCGCAAGACGAGAAACTTTCCAAGTATCTAGACGGGCAGTCTGTCAAGAAAAGAATCTACGTGCCCGGAAAGATCCTGAACGTTATATTAGACCGGAAAAATGTCAAGGTGGGTCTCAAGTAAACACGATTCACGTTATATTCTAGCTTGCTGGTACGCATATCTCAGCCGAGGGGAAGAAAACAGCGAGGAATTTTCTTTCCTGGGATCTGCACAGCAAAGCGGATAGAGGCACGTATTTTCTCCGTCGTGCTTTTGCCGGAATATCTGTCTTCCATCTGGAGGATGGATGGTTTGTCTTTATGGGCATCAGCCGAGTAAAGATTGAGTGAAGATGAAGATGAAGATGCCACTTGATGACTTGGTTGTTAAGGAACTGGTATGAATGGATGATTATTTTGAAGATATATATATATATATATATATATATTTGTAAAACCATAAGTTTATATGTAATTTGATCAATAATAGTGTATGTATTCAACTTATCACAAAGAAGCTTTTCTAATATGAGTATGGGTGGAATTTCATTCTAAGTTTTTTGCAGATTATAATTACTAATTAATTAATTAAATTTATTAAATTATAGTATATTTTGTATATATTTATATTTTGATATTATATTATGACTAGTGTATATTATTTAATTAATAAAATATATCTATGGAGTAAAAAAAATTAATAATGAAATAAATTAAACAGAATTATTGGGTTTTTGGGGCATATTTTGGTGATGAATCTCCTAATCTCCAAATCCAAAATTGGATAACCAAAATTAGGTTAACCACACACCAAATGCTTCGGTCAAATGGTTTACTTTTCCTTGAACGGTGTCGTTTTCTGTTATAGCTTTCTCATCTTTGATGCAGGCTCACGTAAACGACGGCGTTTTGAACCAGTTGATTCATGTCGCGATCCAATTTCTCTTTTCAACAAGAAGCGGAAAGCAACTAACAGAGAAAGAAGTCTCTTCATGGTCTCCACAGCTTTTAAATGCTACTCTCTCTCTCTCTCTCTCTCTCTCTCTCTCTCTGTAAACCCTAACAAACCCTTCAATGTACTCTTCTCATCATAGATTCTTTCTGTAAAACGCTCATTTACGCGGTTTCATTTCATGCTTAATTACGATGGTTAATTGAGCAAGATGGTGATTGATTTTGTGTAACGTCGATTTATAGGAAGGAGCATGACGAAGAAGGCTCAATTAATACCGGTGCGTCACGCTATCTGGCTGGGTTGGAAGCTCGTGATTGCCCTCTCCATCGCGCTTTGCTTCTTCGCGCTCTTCAGGCTCCATTTCCAGTCTGATATCTCTTCAGCTTCCTACGCTGCGTTATCTCGCGCGAGATATCGTCTTCCTCGTTTTAACTTCACCGGTCGTCCCAAGGTCGCATTTCTATTTCTCGCACGCCGTAATCTGCCTCTAGATTTTCTCTGGGGCAGCTTCTTCGAGGTCAACTCTGAATTCCTTTTCTATCTGTTTTAGAGAATTTTTATCTTCTCGCACTTTCTCGGGAAATTAAGTTAAACTAGTGAGTTTGATGGCTTTCAGAATGCTGCTGACATGGCGAATTTCTCGATATATATACATTCGGCGCCTGGCTATGTGTTTGATGAAAATACTTCTCGGTCGCATTTCTTCTACCATCGGCAATTGAAGAATAGTATTCAGGTGAGTTCTGTTGATTTTTCGCTTCTTTTTGGCTGCTAAAATAATGAGGGAATTGAAATGGAAACTAGAGTTGGTGTTTCTTTAAATGAAAAGCTTAATGTAGCATGCTATGTCTGATTGGAAAATACAAATTTCTGGCTTAGCTTTTGGTAGCTGCAAAAAAATTGGATACTTCATTAATAGTGGTTCGGTTGCTTAAGAATTGAAAGTTCATCTCAATTTCCCTGAACTGTAGCTTGGGCTCAGTTTACTTTTGTGGTTCTACTTGGACTTGATGTAAAGAATTTGGTTAAAAAGTTTGAGCTTTCACTGATTCCTATCTGTTTACGTTTAAATCAAATTTGGAATCTAGTTGATGGTGGTTTCCTGTGTGTGAACCCCCAGTGTTTATCTATTGCAGGTTTCTTGGGGTGAGTCAAGTATGATTGAGGCAGAGAGGCTATTACTTGCAACTGCCTTAGACGATCCAGCAAATCAAAGATTTGTCCTTCTTTCTGACAGGTTGTTACCTTATTGTCATACTTTGCTGATACTATTAGTGGATTGCCTTGCATTTTCTGAATGTTCGGTGATACTGGTCTTGTTTCATGTTCTTTTGTTCAAAGATTAAATTTTTGTTGTTTCTGACTTAATGGCTTCTCTATCATTATAAACACTTAGTACATGCTTATAAACACTTATACATGTGATTCGTGAATAAAATTGTCTTTTGAAAGTTGAAACTACCACCAAGACTTCTTCATTCTCATTTTTCATTTTTGAAACTGGTGGTTGTTTGGGTAAAGGCATTATTTTGATTATTTTACTTTTGAGAGCATAAATGGCTAATAATATCTCTTTCTTTCTGTTTTGCAGCTGTATTCCCCTGTACAATTTTAGCTATATATACAACTATCTGATGGCTTCTCCAAGGAGTTTTGTGGACAGGTAGATGGCAAGTTTTGGCTCTTGAGGTGCTAACAATGATTCTCTAAGCATTAACGAAAAATATTTACATCTGTACATCATTTTGATTGTTTGTAAGTTATTGTTAAAGAAACTGTAGAATTTGAATTTTTGTGGTTACTTTTTTTTTCCTTTTTGTAGCTTTCTTGATGCAAAGGAAGGTCGTTACAACCCAAAAATGTCACCTGTCATTCCAAAGGCAAAATGGCGAAAGGGATCCCAGGTTATCTATTTTTCCTTTGGATGTACATATTCTCTTGAAAAACAATTAGTTAGTTGAGCTTGAAGACCCTGACCTAAAAACCGATTTGGCTTTTCAAAAGATCCGATGAAAAGGAGATTTTGTTAAAGGGTTTTTAAATGCATCAGGAATTGTGTTTCTTTCAACTCTGGTATGTGTTATAATAGTATGGCTAAGATTAGAATTTTACCAGTATTAGGATTTTTTTTCCTGATAAGAAAAAGAAAAATAACAGGGGTGCCGCCCATTGGATTTAAAAAACAGAAAATTAGAAAGAAGACTCAGGCAAAGTATCAATGTGCTGGCCTGAATCTTCTCGTGGAGGAATATTCAAGACAAAGTACTTATACTATGTTTGGGTAAACATTATTAGATGAATCTAAAGGAAAGGAAAGGGAAAAAAGGAGTGGCTTTTGAGGAATCGAAAGGAAAGATGTGTCATTTGTTTGGATAACTAAAAATTGATTAAGTAAAGAAAACAACGGATTGTTCTAGTATTTTGTTTGCTTTAGTGTTACAAAGAAAAAGATTAATTATGAGAAAACAGTCAATAGTACTTTTACTAGTAGAATGATGAGAAGTTAGGTTGTAAGGAAAATATATAGTTCTTTTTTAAGATTTTAATTCCTTTCCTTTGCCTTCTTTTTTTCTAATTTGGAGGAATAAAAAAATTGAAGTTTTAAAGTAAACGGATGGATACCTACAATCTTTCCTTTTTCTTTATTAATTATTATTTTTTATCCAGATAAGAAAAAGGAGGATGACTATCCATTACTTTCCTTTCCTTTTCCCACTTTACTTAATCCAAACATATTGTTAGCATCTGGAGCCTGA